TTGCATCAAAGGATTATTTTAAAATTTGTAGCCAGTATTATTCATCTACAGACTTGAATAAATACGTCTACTTGCTTCATGCAACATATGTGGTTTGCCTTCTACGAAATGGTCAATTAAAGAAAAAGCATGCCATAGGTATGTATATCATAGATTACTTTTAGGATGAACGATAATTCAAAATATGTAGCAGGATAAACTAGCTGATTGTCTGAATGAACTTTTTTCTGCATCTCAATCATTTCTTCATTGTTGGTGCTTTATAAATTACTTGCATTACATTTGCTATCCCCGTGAATACGGCATTATTTGTTCTTTCGGAATTCCTGCTAATTTCTTCTGTTTTCTCTGCATTCCCTATTTTTTAAGCATGATGAATCAACTTCATATTCGTCTAGACTGTCAAAGAAAGGAAAAAGGAACATTTGTAACGGTAAGGGAGTGATTACTCTAGCTGGACCTTCTCGTAAAGGAAGAAGACTTACGAGAAATCTTGATGATGTGGTGTTGGCTCCTTCAATTTTGGATTTAAGCTCAGATGACCACCTTTTTAAAGCGGATAGACTACAAACAGACGCTGAAGCGACATCTAGCCTTTCTGGTGGTCTCAATAATAACACTATTCTACAAAATAGTGAAGGACCTAATGCTGGATTAAGTACTGAAAATAGAATTATCGATGGTGGTTCAGATGATATTGAACAGATCAAAGATTCAGTTCCTATATCTACGCTTAGAAATTCAACTTTGTTTGTAGAAGATGCCCTACGTGTGCCACAAACATCAATAGATTTATGTTCTAGTGATGAGGAAAAATTCACCGATGGTGATCAGGTTGATAATGGTGCTGGCTTACCTACTTCAACAGAGATGTCATGTGTTATATGTTTCACAGATTTCAGCACAACACGGGGGATTCTGCCATGTGGACATCGATTTTGTTTTCCATGCATCCAGAGTTGGGTTGATCATAGGGTATGCCTTTTCATTTATTTGCCATTTTTACGAATTAAAGCCTATTAATTGATGATCATGATCTCTGTAGCATGCCATTTTCTTTTGACTAGATTTCAAGTTGGTCTCTTTTCCTAATCCTAACTAAACTATAATTTAACTTTCATTCAATTTATGCTTTTCTTTATCATTTAGAATTTGAGGCTCCACCTCATTGTTTTGCTTTATTTTCTTAGTGAAACCCTTCGGTTCAATACAACAAATATTATTATATTTTATTTTCTAGTTCAATAAGAAAAAAAACTAAAGTCTTAGTACAATAAGTTTAATTTTGTCAGTTTTATTTGAATTTTTTTAATGGTTAGTACAACTGAGTATGTGTTTGGTCTTTAGTAATTGTTTCGTGTGAATATCAAAGGAAAAATTAATGTTAATATGAAATTAACTTCCTTTAATGTTAATTGCGTATTAATGTATTCGATTACCTCAACAATTAACGAAGTTCAAATAAAATTTACGAAATTATAGTTTTTGTACTAAGATTGTAATTTTTTTTTATTGTACTAAAAATGTTGTAATGAACTAAATATTTACCCAAGTATATTTATCAATTTTGTCCAGGCTCTCTTACTAATGCACTCGTTTGAATTGATGGTGATTCCAAAATGTCCTATTTAAAGATTAAGATGGATTAAGTCAACCTCGTTAGATTTCTCTTAATATTATTTGGTTGTCTCTTTCATTTCTCATTTGTTTTTCAATATTTATAGACTTCAATGAGAAAAACATCAACTTGCCCTCTGTGCAAGGCAAGTTTTGTGATGATTAAGAAAGTCGAGCATGCAGCCACTACGGATCAAAAAGTATACTCCCAGACAATCCCATGTAACAATTCAGCCTCAGAAATTTTTATCCCCATGGATCAAGAATTACCGCATACTACCTTTGAGGTACGCTTATCCTTGAGCTATATTAGCTGTTATCTCTATTGGGTGTTTTTTTTCCCATATTAGTTGAAATCACATAACACACGGACGAGCCTTAACTCAGTGGTTAGATTGCTACCTAAGGTCATGGGTTCAAATTTTAAAAATAGTCTGTCTTCTTGTAGGGTTTAAAAACTATTCTAGATTATTAAAAAAAAAAAATTAGAGGAGAGGAAAGAAGTGGCCCAACATAGACACAGGAAAAAAATTGGAATGAGTGGTTGTTAGATTATTGATTGTACAGTAACAGTTGTGGCTTGTATACATTCCATACAATATTGACATCTTTAAAGATATTGACTGGTATTCACTGAAAGCCTGTCATAGATTCTACTGGAACTTAATGTTTCTTATATGCTCTTTGCTTAATTTGGACGGCTCATAAATAAGTGGCAGTTTAATTGGTTGTTGCAACCATATAATGAGAGCGAGTAAGATTTATTTGGCCTAAAAAACAATATCACATGAGCTGGCAACTTTTGTTTTACTTGTTAAGTTGGAATGCTTTATGTGTGGACTCTACCCCACCCAACATTTTGATCATTTTAATAGAGAATTGTTTTATTAAGAATTATTATTTGTGTAACAAACCAACATTCTCACTGTCAGCCTTATGATATCCATGATTTTGTAATGTTGGGTTTCTCTCTGTTCTTTGTTAGACAGGCTATGACTTTCACCAATCCACCATGATCCATAAAATTTAATGTCCATGAGCATGGTTCTATATACTGTAATGCACACCACCTATAAGAAGCCAGAAGAAAAACTATATGAAATAACTTGATTTTATTCTGTGATTTTTATGATAATTTTCTCTAAAGAAAAATATTAGGAACACACTTTCTAACACACACTTTTTTAACACACTTTCTAATCACAAATTTAGACATTAGATCCTACATCTGATTTACATATATAGAGAGAGACTGATTTGTTTCCTATGTTGTTACTGATATACTTATATATAGATTGGGTTGTTTCCTATATTGTCATTGAAAGTTTATAAGCATCTTGATATGATTGTCACTCCGTGGATTGTCTTTTGCTTATACAGTCTACACAGACGGGAGCTTGTGTAATTTGCCGTGGTCGGGAACCAGAGGATCTCCTTGAGAATTGTGATATTTGCCAAATTCAAAAAATTCATTCTTATTGCATGGACCCTCCTCTACGGCCATGGACATGCAATCATTGCAAGGAACTTCGGATGCTTTATCGCACTAATCACTATTAGTGTGCATCTTTCCAAGTCCCAAACATGTTTTCATTTTATGAGAGATGTTGTAATTTTGGGGAACTTATTCATGCTCACAATTTTCAGCTACATTGTAGTAAGTTACAATTTGTTAGTGACTTAATTCTCAACAAGTGAAAACTTGTAGGACAAAATCAATGACATGTCTTCATTCATAGATAATATAATAGTCTTTTTAAGCATGTGATTTAGGGTTTGATTATTGATATTTGTATATTAAAAAACAGTTATTGAGGAAGATCAATCTTTTAAATGAATATCTGTTCTTGGTAGATTAATTTTTAATTTTAAAATTAATTTTTTATATTATAATAACTCACATCTTAAAAATTATTTTTAAAAATCTAATGAAACTTTGCATAATTTATAAAATAATATTAATAAATGATTTTTTTTCATCTTTTGTTTTTATGCATGTTTGGGACAACTTAAACATCAAGGTTTTAGTTCTTTTTCCACAAAAGACTAGTTCTTAAAATAACTTGTGTTTTGGATGGTAGTTGTAATTATTTCTAATAGTTTTTTCTAAGATTCATATTTACTTTTTCTGATGTAAAAGTCATTTTCTTCTGCTTTTGAACAGAATGAACTATTTTAGAAGTGGGTTTTAATAAGATTATTCAAATAAAAAAATTAATTTTGATTATAATTTATATTATCATACACATGAATATGGTATTTGGTAACTTTTTTGTGTCAATCTTAATGGGATAATTTTATTCTTTACTAAACAAAAAAGTTATTTATTTAATAAATTAAGTAATTAAACAATGTCTCTTATTTAAAATCGTTAAATTATTTGTTTTTACAAATAACCATCACATGATATTTTGATAGTATTATAAAATTATATCTATATATATATATATATGTGTGTGTGTGAAATTCTATAATTTTTAATTAATTACTTATAAAATAAAAGTTATAAAAAACTATAAAATTATATATTTTTAAAAATATAATATTTTAATATAATAAAAGTAGAAATACACCTAAGAAGAGTTTGTATATTATATTTTGCTATACTTCTTATTAAAATACTATAATTTTTTTTCAGGTGTTTCAAACAAATTAAATATTTGTAGATAATTTAATTTATATAGATAAATTTATTAATTTCATTCTGTTGCCCCTTTGGTAGTACAGTCTATCTTAGACTAATATTGATTTCTGGGTTACAATAATTATGTCCAATTGCAAATTAAACAAGAAAAATACATAAATGCCTATTGCGGTATGTATTACTATAAAAATATATGAAATATCATTATCAAAGAATATATAAGTATGTCTTAAAAAATGTTAAAATATTAATAATCTAAAACTGTGGATATTTTTTGTACATATTCAAATCAAGTAAAATATTTTAAAGAGGTAAAGGTGGGTTTTAAAATTATGATAAAGTGTAGAACTCAATTATCCTATATAATGTGAGTACTGTGTTGGATTGAGTTGGACGTCTCAGAAGAACAGAATTCATCAGTTGTGCATTATATGAATGCTTTGATGAAATTGAATTCAGAAGATTCATTGTATCATGTGTTGTGTGTGATCTTTTGTTTCATAATCCAACAGAAAGAAAATTCAAGGTTTCATGAACCTAATGTCTTGCTGGGTCCCTCTTCTCTACTCTCTGATATTAACATTAATGTCTTTTGTTTGCTTTCCTGTCCTGTTGAACAAACACAAATCATATTTCAGAAATGAGAATCAATCCTTCAAATTCAGAAAACAAAATATTAAATAAAAAATAGTTACTTCTTTCATTTAATATTTTCTATTCTAATTTTATAAGTTTAACNCCTTTTTAAAGCGGATAGACTACAAACAGACGCTGAAGCGACATCTAGCCTTTCTGGTGGTCTCAATAATAACACTATTCTACAAAATAGTGAAGGACCTAATGCTGGATTAAGTACTGAAAATAGAATTATCGATGGTGGTTCAGATGATATTGAACAGATCAAAGATTCAGTTCCTATATCTACGCTTAGAAATTCAACTTTGTTTGTAGAAGATGCCCTACGTGTTCCACAAACATCAATAGATTTATGTTCTAGTGATGAGGAAAAATTCACCGATGGTGATCAGGTTGATAATGGTGCTGGCTTACCTACTTCAACAGAGATGTCATGTGTTATATGTTTCACAGATTTCAGCACAACACGGGGGATTCTGCCATGTGGACATCGATTTTGTTTTCCATGCATCCAGAGTTGGGTTGATCATAGGGTATGCCTTTTCATTTATTTGCCATTTTTACGAATTAAAGCCTATTAATTGATGATCATGATCTCTGTAGCATGCCATTTTCTTTTGACTAGATTTCAAGTTGGTCTCTTTTCCTAATCCTAACTAAACTATAATTTAACTTTCATTTAATTTATGCTTTTCTTTATCATTTAGAATTTGAGGCTCCACCTCATTGTTTTGCTTTATTTTCTTAGTGAAACCCTTCGGTTCAATACAACAAATATTATTATATTTTATTTTCTAGTTCAATAAGAAAAAAAACTAAAGTCTTAGTACAATAAGTTTAATTTTGTCAGTTTTATTTGAATTTTTTTAATGGTTAGTACAACTGAGTATGTGTTTGGTCTTTAGTAATTGTTTCGTGTGAATATCAAAGGAAAAATTAATGTTAATATGAAATTAACTTCCTTTAATGTTAATTGCGTATTAATGTATTCGATTACCTCAACAATTAACGAAGTTCAAATAAAATTTACGAAATTATAGTTTTTGTACTAAGATTGTAATTTTTTTTTATTGTACTAAAAATGTTGTAATGAACTAAATATTTACCCAAGTATATTTATCAATTTTGTCCAGGCTCTCTTACTAATGCACTCGTTTGAATTGATGGTGATTCCAAAATGTCCTATTTAAAGATTAAGATGGATTAAGTCAACCTCGTTAGATTTCTCTTAATATTATTTGGTTGTCTCTTTCATTTCTCATTTGTTTTTCAATATTTATAGACTTCAATGAGAAAAACATCAACTTGCCCTCTGTGCAAGGCAAGTTTTGTGATGATTAAGAAAGTCGAGCATGCAGCCACTACGGATCAAAAAGTATACTCCCAGACAATCCCATGTAACAATTCAGCCTCAGAAATTTTTATCCCCATGGATCAAGAATTACCGCATACTACCTTTGAGGTACGCTTATCCTTTAGCTATATTAGCTGTTATCTCTATTGGGTGTTTTTTTTCCCATATTAGTTGAAATCACATAACACACGGACGAGCCTTAACTCAGTGGTTAGATTGCTACCTAAGGTCATGGGTTCAAATTTTAAAAATAGTCTGTCTTCTTGTAGGGTTTAAAAACTATTCTAGATTATTAAAAAAAAAAAATTAGAGGAGAGGAAAGAAGTGGCCCAACATAGACACAGGAAAAAAATTGGAATGAGTGGTTGTTAGATTATTGATTGTACAGTAACAGTTGTGGCTTGTATACATTCCATACAATATTGACATCTTTAAAGATATTGACTGGTATTCACTGAAAGCCTGTCATAGATTCTACTGGAACTTAATGTTTCTTATATGCTCTTTGCTTAATTTGGACGGCTCATAAATAAGTGGCAGTTTAATTGGTTGTTGCAACCATATAATGAGAGCGAGTAAGATTTATTTGGCCTAAAAAACAATATCACATGAGCTGGCAACTTTTGTTTTACTTGTTAAGTTGGAATGCTTTATGTGTGGACTCTACCCCACCCAACATTTTGATCATTTTAATAGAGAATTGTTTTATTAAGAATTATTATTTGTGTAACAAACCAACATTCTCACTGTCAGCCTTATGATATCCATGATTTTGTAATGTTGGGTTTCTCTCTGTTCTTTGTTAGACAGGCTATGACTTTCACCAATCCACCATGATCCATAAAATTTAATGTCCATGAGCATGGTTCTATATACTGTAATGCACACCACCTATAAGAAGCCAGAAGAAAATCTATATGCAATAACTTGATTTTATTCTGTGATTTTTATGATAATTTTCTCTAAAGAAAAATATTAGGAACACACTTTCTAACATACACTTTTTTAACACACTTTCTAATCACAAATTTAGACATTAGATCCTACATCTGATATACATATATATAGAGAGACTGATTTGTTTCCTGTTGTTACTGATATACTTATATATAGATTGGGTTGTTTCCTATATTGTCATTGAAAGTTTATAAGCATCTTGATATGATTGTCACTCCGTGGATTGTCTTTTGCTTATACAGTCTACACAGACGGGAGCTTGTGTAATTTGCCGTGGTCGGGAACCAGAGGATCTCCTTGAGAATTGTGATATTTGCCAAATTCAAAAAATTCATTCTTATTGCATGGACCCTCCTCTACGGCCATGGACATGCAATCATTGCAAGGAACTTCGGATGCTTTATCGCACTAATCACTATTAGTGTGCATCTTTCCAAGTCCCAAACATGTTTTCATTTTATGAGAGATGTTGTAATTTTGGGGAACTTATTCATGCTCACAATTTTCAGCTACATTGTAGTAAGTTACAATTTGTTAGTGACTTAATTCTCAACAAGTGAAAACTTGTAGGACAAAATCAATGACATGTCTTCATTCATAGATAATATAATAGTCTTTTTAAGCATGTGATTTAGGGTTTGATTATTGATATTTGTATATTAAAAAACAGTTATTGAGGAAGATCAATCTTTTAAATGAATATCTGTTCTTGGTAGATTAATTTTTAATTTTAAAATTAATTTTTTATATTATAATAACTCACATCTTAAAAATTATTCTTAAAAAACTAATGAAACTTTGCATAATTTATAAAATAATATTAATAAATGATTTTTTTTCATCTTTTGTTTTTATGCATGTTTGGGACAACTTAAACATCAAGGTTTTAGTTCTTTTTCCACAAAAGACTAGTTCTTAAAATAACTTGTGTTTTGGATGGTAGTTGTAATTATTTCTAATAGTTTTTTCTAAGATTCATATTTACTTTTTCTGATGTAAAAGTCATTTTCTTCTGCTTTTGAACAGAATGAACTATTTTAGAAGTGGGTTTTAATAAGATTATTCAAATAAAAAAATTAATTTTGATTATAATTTATATTATCATACACATGAATATGGTATTTGGTAACTTTTTTGTGTCAATCTTAATGGGATAATTTTATTCTTTACTAAACAAAAAAGTTATTTATTTAATAAATTAAGTAATTAAACAATGTCTCTTATTTAAAATCGTTAAATTATTTGTTTTTACAAATAACCATCACATGATATTTTGATAGTATTATAAAATTATATCTATATATATATATATATGTGTGTGTGTGAAATTCTATAATTTTTAATTAATTACTTATAAAATAAAAGTTATAAAAAACTATAAAATTATATATTTTTAAAAATATAATATTTTAATATAATAAAAGTAGAAATACACCTAAGAAGAGTTTGTATATTATATTTTGCTATACTTCTTATTAAAATACTATAATTTTTTTTCAGGTGTTTCAAACAAATTAAATATTTGTAGATAATTTAATTTATATAGATAAATTTATTAATTTCATTCTGTTGCCCCTTTGGTAGTACAGTCTATCTTAGACTAATATTGATTTCTGGGTTACAATAATTATGTCCAATTGCAAATTAAACAAGAAAAATACATAAATGCCTATTGCGGTATGTATTACTATAAAAATATATGAAATATCATTATCAAAGAATATATAAGTATGTCTTAAAAAATGTTAAAATATTAATAATCTAAAACTGTGGATATTTTTTGTACATATTCAAATCAAGTAAAATATTTTAAAGAGGTAAAGGTGGGTTTTAAAATTATGATAAAGTGTAGAACTCAATTATCCTATATAATGTGAGTACTGTGTTGGATTGAGTTGGACGGCTCAGAAGAACAGAATTCATCAGTTGTGCATTATATGAATGCTTTGATGAAATTGAATTCAGAAGATTCATTGTATCATGTGTTGTGTGTGATCTTTTGTTTCATAATCCAACAGAAAGAAAATTCAAGGTTTCATGAACCTAATGTCTTGCTGGGTCCCTCTTCTCTACTCTCTGATATTAACATTAATGTCATTTGTTTGCTTTCCTGTCCTGTTGAACAAACACAAATCATATTTCAGAAATGAGAATCAATCCTTCAAATTCAGAAAACAAAATATTAAATAAAAAATAGTTACTTCTTTCATTTAATATTTTCTATTCTAATTTTATAAGTTTAACAAATTCAGTTACTTTGTCAATTTATAATAAAATGTAAATTTTATAGCAATTGAATATTAAAATTAATTCAAATATAATTTTTTACTTCCACAGTTGCATTTTTTGTGACAAACATTAACCTTTGGATGGTTGAAATTTCATGTCACTTTTTCTTTTCCTTTCATAGCAATGTGAGAAAAGATTACCGTTCTGTATATTCTTTCTGTCAGTGTTTTTGTGTCGGATTTATGGCTGATTGTGTTTGGTTTCAATGTGCATCTTTTTTGTCGCTTTCAAGTTATTTGTGACCCTACAAAAGCAGAATCTAAGATTATCCCTTGCTCCTTGCCTTTGCTATCATGCTTCTAATCTCTCTAATGATCTTCTTGGATTAGTTTTATCTTTTTCTTTTATCTTTAGATTAATTTTCATTTCGTATTTTTTTACTAATATTTTAATATGCCTTGATATATTGATATAAATAGTTAACCTTTAGAAATTAAATTATAATTCTTAGTTATAATAGAACAATTTAATATATAAAAATAATAGCATTTTTAATGCATTTAATTGAAAACATTAATTAATCCATTAAAGATTTAAAAATATTTTAATGATTAAGTATTTTTTAATATATATTAAAATTAATAAAACAACCGAGGAAATAAATTAATTGTTAAATATGGTCCTATTCTATTTAAAGCAAGTTCTTAGACTTTTATATGAAAAATTAGGTTTGCTTGTATTGAAAATGTTTTTCATTCTATATCAACGTTCATGTTTTAAGCTGTACGTTNCTGTTGTTACTGATATACTTATATATAGATTGGGTTGTTTCCTATATTGTCATTGAAAGTTTATAAGCATCTTGATATGATTGTCACTCCGTGGATTGTCTTTTGCTTATACAGTCTACACAGACGGGAGCTTGTGTAATTTGCCGTGGTCGGGAACCAGAGGATCTCCTTGAGAATTGTGATATTTGCCAAATTCAAAAAATTCATTCTTATTGCATGGACCCTCCTCTACGGCCATGGACATGCAATCATTGCAAGGAACTTCGGATGCTTTATCGCACTAATCACTATTAGTGTGCATCTTTCCAAGTCCCAAACATGTTTTCATTTTATGAGAGATGTTGTAATTTTGGGGAACTTATTCATGCTCACAATTTTCAGCTACATTGTAGTAAGTTACAATTTGTTAGTGACTTAATTCTCAACAAGTGAAAACTTGTAGGACAAAATCAATGACATGTCTTCATTCATAGATAATATAATAGTCTTTTTAAGCATGTGATTTAGGGTTTGATTATTGATATTTGTATATTAAAAAACAGTTATTGAGGAAGATCAATCTTTTAAATGAATATCTGTTCTTGGTAGATTAATTTTTAATTTTAAAATTAATTTTTTATATTATAATAACTCACATCTTAAAAATTATTCTTAAAAAACTAATGAAACTTTGCATAATTTATAAAATAATATTAATAAATGATTTTTTTTCATCTTTTGTTTTTATGCATGTTTGGGACAACTTAAACATCAAGGTTTTAGTTCTTTTTCCACAAAAGACTAGTTCTTAAAATAACTTGTGTTTTGGATGGTAGTTGTAATTATTTCTAATAGTTTTTTCTAAGATTCATATTTACTTTTTCTGATGTAAAAGTCATTTTCTTCTGCTTTTGAACAGAATGAACTATTTTAGAAGTGGGTTTTAATAAGATTATTCAAATAAAAAAATTAATTTTGATTATAATTTATATTATCATACACATGAATATGGTATTTGGTAACTTTTTTGTGTCAATCTTAATGGGATAATTTTATTCTTTACTAAACAAAAAAGTTATTTATTTAATAAATTAAGTAATTAAACAATGTCTCTTATTTAAAATCGTTAAATTATTTGTTTTTACAAATAACCATCACATGATATTTTGATAGTATTATAAAATTATATCTATATATATATATATATGTGTGTGTGTGAAATTCTATAATTTTTAATTAATTACTTATAAAATAAAAGTTATAAAAAACTATAAAATTATATATTTTTAAAAATATAATATTTTAATATAATAAAAGTAGAAATACACCTAAGAAGAGTTTGTATATTATATTTTGCTATACTTCTTATTAAAATACTATAATTTTTTTTCAGGTGTTTCAAACAAATTAAATATTTGTAGATAATTTAATTTATATAGATAAATTTATTAATTTCATTCTGTTGCCCCTTTGGTAGTACAGTCTATCTTAGACTAATATTGATTTCTGGGTTACAATAATTATGTCCAATTGCAAATTAAACAAGAAAAATACATAAATGCCTATTGCGGTATGTATTACTATAAAAATATATGAAATATCATTATCAAAGAATATATAAGTATGTCTTAAAAAATGTTAAAATATTAATAATCTAAAACTGTGGATATTTTTTGTACATATTCAAATCAAGTAAAATATTTTAAAGAGGTAAAGGTGGGTTTTAAAATTATGATAAAGTGTAGAACTCAATTATCCTATATAATGTGAGTACTGTGTTGGATTGAGTTGGACGGCTCAGAAGAACAGAATTCATCAGTTGTGCATTATATGAATGCTTTGATGAAATTGAATTCAGAAGATTCATTGTATCATGTGTTGTGTGTGATCTTTTGTTTCATAATCCAACAGAAAGAAAATTCAAGGTTTCATGAACCTAATGTCTTGCTGGGTCCCTCTTCTCTACTCTCTGATATTAACATTAATGTCATTTGTTTGCTTTCCTGTCCTGTTGAACAAACACAAATCATATTTCAGAAATGAGAATCAATCCTTCAAATTCAGAAAACAAAATATTAAATAAAAAATAGTTACTTCTTTCATTTAATATTTTCTATTCTAATTTTATAAGTTTAACAAATTCAGTTACTTTGTCAATTTATAATAAAATGTAAATTTTATAGCAATTGAATATTAAAATTAATTCAAATATAATTTTTTACTTCCACAGTTGCATTTTTTGTGACAAACATTAACCTTTGGATGGTTGAAATTTCATGTCACTTTTTCTTTTCCTTTCATAGCAATGTGAGAAAAGATTACCGTTCTGTATATTCTTTCTGTCAGTGTTTTTGTGTCGGATTTATGGCTGATTGTGTTTGGTTTCAATGTGCATCTTTTTTGTCGCTTTCAAGTTATTTGTGACCCTACAAAAGCAGAATCTAAGATTATCCCTTGCTCCTTGCCTTTGCTATCATGCTTCTAATCTCTCTAATGATCTTCTTGGATTAGTTTTATCTTTTTCTTTTATCTTTAGATTAATTTTCATTTCGTATTTTTTTACTAATATTTTAATATGCCTTGATATATTGATATAAATAGTTAACCTTTAGAAATTAAATTATAATTCTTAGTTATAATAGAACAATTTAATATATAAAAATAATAGCATTTTTAATGCATT